GATCATCATAAAAAAAATTATTTGGTTGCAAATTGTTTGCAACAATTTCCATGTGTTTTTGTTCGGTATCTTCTGGAACACACAAATAGAAACAGTAGAAAATTTTTTTGTCGGTCTCAAAATTTTGACTATATTTCAAATCTTGACTACAGCTTGACAACCATCAGAGAAAATAAATGGCGGCCATGTCATAAAAACTCAGAATGCGGAACTGTTTTTGGATGAATATCTAAATCTGCCAATTGAATGGGTTTTTCGAGATTTCTTTTCAAGACTTTGCGAGGACTTTGCTTGACAATCCGAATCAGAGAACACATCGATATTTGCGTAATTTTTCCCTTTTCTGTTTTTAGATTCTTGCCTCGAAGTTTTCATCGTTTGTAAAGTTATTAATGATTTGATCAACCGTTGATTTGTAACTATTTGTAAGATTTGAAATTTGGGAATTTTGCAATGTCTGATATGCATGGCAACTATCATTCGCCTGGCTTCGTCTTATAATTGCTTTATAATTTTCTGTATTTTGATGCTGAAAAATTGAAGTTAAACGTAATCAGTTTCTCTTGTTGAAAATTTGTGGTGAATTTGTAAATTTTGAACGTTTAATGGACCAAATTTTTAGTTATCAAACTTTGCCTAACGACAAAACTCAAGAAAACGTGAAAAAAAAAACGTTCTTTGGCTCGTTGAAACCAAAACTATGCAATTTCATGACTATAAATTTTTTCTGACGTTATATGAAAGGAACCAAAATTTGCGCTCGTTTTTATTTCCTTCAGACTTATTTTGAATTTCATTTCAGTTTACATTTTAGAAAAATTATGTGGCTTGAAAATTGTCCAAAAACAAGAAATCTAAGAAACTCGATTTGGCCAAAAAAAAAGAATGTCACAATTGCTACGTCAAAATACTGGTTCGTACAGTAAAAACATTGTGCTTTTAGTCTCTCATCTAGTGATGCGTCAAATAGAAGACTGGCATTGCCTGAACTCAATTTGAATTAGTCGATCAGTCGGCTTAACTTTGCGCATGTGAAAATCATCGTTAGAAAACTGTTAAATAACGCGCTATAGTTCGCCCATAATACCTGTTTTTGAACCTTTATAGCTTTGTAAAAAATGATCACAGGTAAATCACCTGCTTAATTTTGAGCTCAGGGGATCTAAATTGCCCACAATAATTGAAAGTTCTGTCGAAAATAGCTTTTTACATCGGAGTCCCACTGGAGAAAAAACGAAGACTGTCACTTTCTTCAAAACTCGGAGAATAAACTTTCAAAAAAAGTACCGCGTTTTGACTCTAGCTGATTTGATTATTTTGCAGAAACTATACATCTTATGTAAATTTCAATTCAGCCATCCAATCAAATATTATTCGTTATACACAATTATGAAATGGCGGCTCGTATCAACGCACAGTCCCAAATTTTTTGAGTGCCCTCAACGTCTTGTAAAGAAATTTTAAAAGCTTCAATAGAAAAAAAATTTCTTTTATATAAAAATTAGTGTATTTTGTATTTTTTGAAAACTTTCCCGCACACCTTAGCCAAGCACAAAAAAATAGTTTCAAAAAATGTTCTTAGGTAGAATGTTTTTTTTTTAATTTTGAGCTGAAGACATCACTGGTTTTTAGATGGATGAGAAAATTTTTGTTCAAAAACAGTTATTTGAACAAATTTGCAAAATTAAAAAAAGTTGTCTCAAACTGGGTTGATATTAAAACAAAAACGGCGCTCAGACTGGCTCAAAATTTTTCGACAATTTTTATGGCGAGTATTAGTCGCGAAAATTGCCTCTATTATTAATTCAAGACAGCCGTTTGTGGTAAAAAGAATTTTTGCTTGAATTTTTTAACAGCACACTTTTGGTTAGAGTATCCTTTTTTGGGAAACAGCGGTCTTTTATTCAAAATTTTTTTCTTCAAAAAGGACCAAAGACAGTTTTCCATCTAATTTTTCTAATCAATTGTCCTGCGGTTCAAAAACTCAAAAACAAGAGTGCCAAGAAACTCAATTTGATCGGTATAAAAAACTGAGCAAGCCACTACTTGAGAAAAAGTTTTTGTACCTACTGGTGGTTTTCTGGTGATTACTGGTGGTGATGTCAAAAACGAATTGTTAATGTTTTTCTAGTACACCGTTAAATGGACCACTTACTTTGCCTCAACCCAATTAGAAATGGCCGATGAGTCGTTTTAATGTTCCGCACGTGATATTCGTTAATAAAAACTATTAAACAATGAGCAATATTTCTCACAAATTACCTGTTTTCAAATCCCTTAATTAGGTAACAAACGGCCACAGGTAAAACACCTGCTTCACTGTGCGTTCAATGTACCATTATCACCAAGGCTCATTGAAAAGTCTGCCGAAAAAAGCTAGTTAACAGTTTTAATTGAAAAAAAAACTTCACTAGAGAAAAAAACGAAGACTGGAAAGTCGGAACTCAAAATTTAAGAAACTATTCTGAAGTTTTACTTTTGATTCTAGCTGAATTTAACATTTCTCAGACGCGATACATCTTATAGGTATTCGCCTCAACCAGTCAATTGAAAACTAACCAACAAACACAAATACGAAACAAGAATGTTCGTATCAGTTCAAAGTCATGCTTGTTCCCACTACACTTCATTGTCTCTGAAACAATTTTTGAGCACTTCAATTAAAAAGAAATGATAAAATTTGTAAATGGAAAAAAACTCGAGTGCTAGGAAACACGATTTAGTTGGCATAAGAAAAATCGCTATTTAACAAGTCTAAGCTAAACTGGAAAAAAAACTTGAGTTGGTCACTTTCCTCAAAAGCATTGTGAATCCAACTGACTTAAACATTTGGCAGAAGCTTTTTAGCTCAAATGTTGTCAATTCAACTAGTCATCTAAAAGTTGAATAAACAAAACTGCTCGTATTAGGGCGTAGTTAATCAAAAGTTGACTAAGCAAAACTGGGCGCAGTCAGATTTTTCTGACTACCTCACCGTCTTTGCAACAGATTTGAAAGCTTCAATTTTAAAAATGATACAATTTTTATATGAAAAAAACACCGATTTTTAAAAAAAGAATTTTTTTGAAAACTGCAACCCACATCTTAGCCAAATACAAATTGATGTTCTTAGCGACTAGCGCGTTATCAATAACGCCATATAACTCATATTTTGTTTCAATTCAAATCATTTTGATTGATTAGCGTACGCGTTCCCCAAAACATTTGCTTTTTAATTATCCCAATTAACTAAATTGTATTTTCCCAAAAACCTATAAATTTTCAAAAAATGATAGCAGGTAAAATAAACATAATTGTTTTAATTTGAGCACAGAACTTCACTAAAGTTCCAATGTTATAGAAGCTGTTTATGACTCATCATTCAAACTAGATGTTTTGAAAGCACTTAAAAGTTTACAACACCGCTACCTAAAAAAACTCGATCGCAACCCAACTGGAATTTGTCAAGTATCAAGTGATAACATTCACGTCTAGTACCGCGATAAATTTCTAACTTATCCTGACTGAATCAATTGAGAATGATCAATCAGTCGGTTTAATTTCCGCATGTATTAATCATTAAAAGAAAAACGCTAAATAACAAGCAAATTTTCTTCCAAATTACTCATTTTTAAACCGTCATAACTTTGTTAATAAAAATCACAGGTAAGTGTCTGCTTATCGTGACGCTCAAGGTGCTACTAGCTCCCAGAATGTTGAAAAATTTGTCGAAAATAGCTAGATAACAAGTCAAAATTTAAAAAAAAAAACAATCTTTCTTCAACAAACGGAACGTAAAAAAATGTTCGGCATTTTGCGTTGTTACTCTAACTGAACTAAACAGTTCGCAAAAGCTATATATCTTAAGTATATAAATCTTAGAAAAAAAATTAACCGTTCGACACAATTACGAAACAAGATGGCTCGTATCATCACAAATCTTTAAATATTCTGATTCCCCTTCAACGTCTTTTAACAGTTTTTGAAAACTTATTTGAAAGCAAACAAGAATAAATTTTCATTTGAAGAAAAAATTCTGAAAACTTACTCGCACTCCTTAGCCATGCACAAAGTTATATTCTTAGCGTCTACTGACGTAATAAAAACGCCACATATCTTGCCTCATTTCAGTTTGGACCTATTTATGAGCGGATTAAATAGCCTACTACGGGTTAATTGCACAAAAAATTTTGCGCAGTAGTTCCCCCAAATTTGACAAATTAGAATTTTTAAGCAACCATAAGTTTTTTTAAAAAAATCACAGGTAAATTATCTTTTCAAATTTGAGCTCAAGACAACCTTTGCTTTCAGATGGTATAAAAGATTCAGCTCAAAATTGGCTAGTTAAAAAGTCGAGAGGGAAAACTTGTTGGAGAAATAAACCACCTGAGCACAAATAGGCCGTTATTTTTTGCAAAAATCGAAACAGTAGGAATTGTTCAAAAGTGTTGATTTCAGTGGAAAAAAGGCAAAACCAGAACTTTTAATTTGTAGTGGTATAACGTCATTCAGTTCACAGTTTCCAATACCCCTCCTTAGTTTGTTTCCGAAAATGAGTTTACGAAAACTTAGTTTAAATGAGTTTTTACTCTTAAATACAACCAGGTCCGTGGGGAAATGCGTTTTTTTAAAATGTTTGTCGACCACTAGGCAAAACTGATTTTGCGAGCTCTCCCAAAACATTTGGGAAAACCCAATTTTGAAAAAAAATTTGCGCCGCAGATTTTTTTGAACAAATATACCAAAAAGTGGCGTTTTCTTTGGAAGAGCTTCACCGGAAAAAAATGTTGGTTTTGGAGCTTTTTGACCAACCAAATTGGTACATTTTGGCGCCGAAAAAACGTTTAGAAAGTTTTTGAGGTCCTTCAGCCACTCTCCTTCTTTAAATCCACCACTTACTGCAAAGAAACGGGTTTCAGCGCAAACAAGTGAATAGGTTCTAATTCATTTCTCAAATGCCTTTAGCTGTATGAAAAATTTTTACACAAAATATCACATTTGTAAATTTACAAGAGACGTAAGGAAAAGGAGAAAAGCAGTTAGATTTTAGAGATGGTTTTCATTTTAAAACATTTTGACTTGTCGCACACGAAGAGGATCACGAACTAGTTCCATATCTGTGTTGGAAGGTGAGAGCGTCAATGAAGAAGTCGCAGCAGGTGACAGTGTCGTAAACTGGCAGTCTTGTGGCCTTTCGCAATGCATTTGCGTACCTGGCGGGTCGTAAGTGGCAATCAAATATAACTTCTGGCTCGGAAAATTTTGAAATTTTGACCCTCAATTGTAGTGTTTTGATTATTTCGGGTCGACGTGCTAGTTTTTTGTTTCGACTTTCTCTTCAAAAATTCGCTGTTATGACTTTTTTGGCAAAATTTTGTAATGTTTCGACTCTCTCGACCAAATTTTTGATTGTTTCTGGGCTATTTTTATAATGGTCCCCTTTCCTCCTCCATCGCCTATTAAATTATAACTCTAATCCCAATAGACAAGAATCAAAGTGTCCTGGGGATATTAATTTTTTTTGTTAAAACTCTGGAGGGCTGCAATTTTGTAATTAATTATCATTTTGGAATTTGAACCCCAATATCAAACACCACTTTTGGGAAAAAACCAACTTTTTGGGACAACACTTTTTTGGTATTGAACCAGAAGACGAAATATGTCTTGAAAAAAAAAGTTGCCGAATGTTGTGACTGATTGCCACCTGGGAAGTTCCGTGCACTCCAACAATACCGCTTTGATCTTCTTCTCTTGTTGGATGGTGTCCGCCACCAGACCAACCAGACTGTCTTGGAACTCGGTGGCATTGATGTGATCTCCGTACACAACCTATACATCGCTCTTTCACCGTTTCAATCCATCATCATCTTATATTGTTTCAATCCATCATCATCTTATATTGTTTCAATCCATCATCATCTTATATTGTATCCAGTTCTTAATTTAATTTAATAGTTCATACTTCATACTATAGTTAAAATGCAGTCTAACCACCGTCTCTTTGTACTATATTTAACTTGAGTTCACATTTCAAGTTGTCGTTATAAAAAAGAAGATATATCTCCTCCTTCATTGCAAATTTTGCTTTTTTACAATCTTTTAACAGACTATTATGACTAAATGCTTGTTTTTTTGCCATAGAAGATATAAGCAACAATTCATTCAGGTTTACTAATTTGTTTTCCATGCTTAAAATCATGATCTTTTTGACTACGGTGAATTAATTTTCCAAATCGAAATTTGAATTTCGATTGAGAAAAAGAAAAAATCCAAAAACAATCGAAGATATATTTTTCAAGTTTAAAACACATTTGAACTTAAGACATATCGAACACAAGCAACTAATCACACTAATGAAAAAAACTTATTTCTGGGGATAATGGTGCTTGAAGGAGTATAAAAGAGCGGACTCGACCTCTTCGAATCTGGGCAGGCCCTCACACCCCACGATCTTCAGTCGAGGCCCGCAACAATCAATTCCACACTGAGTCCTCAACAAATCCTGTTCTCATATCACAGCACATACGTATACACACATTTCTGATTGTTTAGTTTCAATTCATTTTCTTTATTCTTTTTTTTTCTTTTTTTTTCAATTGTTCAATTCTTCGAAAAAAAAAGAATTTTTAGAATAGCTCCAAATGAACGGATTACTTTATTCTATAGGGTAGAAAAACTTTTTTTAGTTTTTACTGACGTTTTTGGCGTTTTTCAAGTGCAAAAAAGCAATCTGGACAAACTACTCAAATTACTAACTACTAACTGCTGCAGGAGTGAATTTAGAAAAGATTGGGTGATAATGAAAATAATTTTCAATAACCTGGCGAAGAATCGAATCCCCTGAAAAATTAAACCTGCCTGACCAATCGAACTCTCTCCTTTAGTTTTTCGTTATCAAACCTATTTTTAGTCCGTCAACCTTGAAACTCCGTATATACTAATTTTGAGGAAAAGAGCGTCAAAAACTTCCAATAAATACCTGAATAGCATATTTTCAAAGATTCGCTCCGCTGAGCCGAAAACTTTGTGCTGAAAATTTTGGCACAACAAAGTCTTTCTGTGATGGTTTTAGGGAGTATAGGTTGATATTGGTAGTGAATTTGCGATAGTGGATCGTCTGGAACCACATGTGTTGGACAGTGTCCCTGTCGCCATTCAAGGATTTCGTGCTGTTGATTGTTCAGGAGCGATTCTTAGCGGCTGCCGCGTCTTAATGTTTTTGTAGTACCGCAACTGCTACTGCATTTGCAGTAACCATATAGTGGCCTTGGATTTGTTGTTCATCTTGTTATCTGTAAATTATATTATCCTATTATGTAAACCAAGGTCAATACTGCGTGACCTTTATTGTTTAGGAAAAGAGAGTTTGTCTCTCAGAACTGCGGCTCTGTGCACAGTCGAGCTCAGAAAACAAATCAAATAAAAAAACAATACGGTTTCAACCATTAAATTAACTCTGTGAAACCAAGTCCGTTTTCATTATAAACCTCAGAGGTTCTGTAAGTTATCACATGGCGCAGCCAGCAGGATCCGGTTTTACAGGTCAAGACAATAGGACCGATCTGCGAATCCCAGTATTCTGGGCATCCGCAAATTCAGATCCACCCTGGAATTTTGAAACATGGCTTGATCAGTTCCTATTAGCTGTTACGGTTAAAGAAAACGTGGATCCAGAAGTAATGTTAGAAGAACCCAAAACTGTCCTAGAAGAACCTCTACCAACTCCTGAACCACCAGCGCAGAACGAGGATGCGCCTGCAGTAGCAGAGAGAGAAGCCCGGAACAGATTGGCTCGGGATAGAGTGGTTCTAGAAAATGAAGAGCGGGTATTGAGAGGACCTAGAGTGGGACACAATGTATTTTATAATGAAGTTGGAAAACGGTTGACATCGAGATTATTTCTTGCTTTACGCGCAGAAGGGAAGAAAAAATTTATTCAAAAAAATCCTCGCACAGAGATATCTAAATTGGGGTTTCGGGACATAGTGCGTTTAGCCAAAATCTCATTTGAAAAGACGAAATGTATTACCTATGAGAGATACAAACTGTTTACACGATCTCATGAACCGAATGAAACGCTGGAATCTTATAATGCGGCACTGACTGCTTAAGCAGCAAAGGCGGAATTGGGAGCACTGGAAGAAGAGTTGGTGAGAGATCTATTTATTTTTCGGATGAAAATGTTCTCCTTCGAGACACATTAACTTTTGAAACATTTTCTCCCGAAGAAGTCCTAAAGCGTGCGATAAAATTCGAATAGAGTAAACAAACTACCCAAGCATTTCAAAATCTTCATCAAACACAAACAACTCAGGATTGTTTTCAAATTCACAAATGAAAATCAAACAAGAACCGATTATGGCAATTGGAAACAAGGGGTATAGCTCTAAACGACAAGGTTAAAATCAAAATAGAAGAAAACAGTATGAAAACAAGAATACTCAAAGAGCTAAAGGAGATCAAAAACAATGCACGAGATGCGGTAGAGCGTTTGGAGAAGGCCATTTAAAAAATTGTCCGGCAATGGGTAAAACGTGTAAGAACTGTAACAAACCCAATCATTTCGCAAAAACGTGTAGATCACAGCAAGTTAACGAAATCACAAATGAAGATTCTAGTTCGGAAGAAGAAAGCAATTTAATACAAACTTTTGATTCATGCGACGAATTTGAGATAATGACTGTAGAGGAAGATTTCACTTCCATCGTAAACATCGAAAAATACATCAACAAACGAGTTTTAGCGAATGTGTCCGATGAGAAAAATATTCAGAAGAAGTCGTTGACGGAAAAATCTGACAATATTGAAAAAATCGAAATTCGCAGGAATCCAAAATCTCATCAAATTAAAGCATTGAAGGCTCTAGTTAAAATTGATAGTCATATCTTGAATATGACTATAGACACGGGTAGTCCGGTATCACTTCTGAATTGAACGACAACAAAACAAAGTTTGGAAATACCCTCAAATTCAAAATTTGTTCCAGCAGAGAAGTTAAACTTGTCCGCGCAGTTTGTGGATTATAATAAACGACCTATTTTGATATTAGGAGCGTTGAAAGCTAATCTGCGTTCGGCGGGTTGGAAAGTGTTGGGAGCGATGCTACTAGTCACAGAAAGACGTAAGCGATGTATACTAGGTCTAGATCTTCAAAGTAAACTGGGAATTCAGACCACTCAAAAATCAGCTCCAACACGAAGATCCAGGTTTGACGTGCTACTGTGCGAGCAGTCAGAAGGCTGGAAGCAAATTGTTTATATGAAATTCGAAGATCTATTTGATAGACAAGGGGAATCAAAAAATCATACTTTGAAAACAAAATTTAAATATCCTCTATGTCCGATTCAAGAAAAAGGTAGGAGAATTCCTATACACATTCAGGATAAAGTACAAGCAGAGCTAGACAAACTACTTGCAGAAGGACACATCGAAAAACTGGATAAGTGTACAAGCGATTGCTTTATTGCTCCAATTGTTATCACAGTTAAAAAAGACAACTCTATTAAGTTAGCCTTGGACGCAAAACCTATTAATAGACAATTGTACAAAAATAAATATCAGATGCCAAACGTAGATGAACTGATCGATGGTGTTAGCCAGATTATCACGGCAACATCAGAAGGCTCTCTGTATTTCACCGTGTTGGATTTAAAGTATGCTTACAGTCAAATAAGACTAACTGCGGAAACAGCAAAACAATGCAATTTTAATATTGTAGGAGGCCAAGCAACGGGAACATATAGATTTCTGACAGGTTTTTACGGGCTGGCAGACATGCCCGCCGAATTCCAGAAAGCAATGGACAGAACACTGAACCACTCAAAAAATACCTTTTGCTTTCTGGACGATATTCTAATTGTTTCAAAGGGGGAAGCTAAGGATCATGAGAAATTGGTTCGCAATGTGTTGCAAAAGTTGGACGATGAAAATCTCGCTTTAAAAATTACAAAATGTGAGTTTTTTCAGTCCTCAGTGAATTGGTTAGGCCATAATTTATCGGTACACGGTATAATACCGAAAATTACGAAAACTGAGGGTATTGCAAATCTCCAAACCCCCAAGTCACTAAAACAACTCAGATCGTTCATGGATAGTATCAATCATTTATCTAAATTCATCCCAAATGCGGCTAGTTTAACTGAAAAACTTCGACCACTACTGAAAGAAGAAAATGAAAAAAAAAGAAAATGAAAAATGTTCGACTGCCAGTGAAAAAATTTGAGTGGTACGACCAACACTCGGTAGCTTTTGAGGATATCAAAAAGGCAGTAGCTAACATCGCTTTATTAAATTATTACGATCCATCTAAGCAAACCAGAATAAAGTGCGATGCAAGTCATAGCGGTCTCGGGGCTACGCTTGACCAATGGTCTAATCAAAACGAATGGGTACCGATAGCATTTGCATCCCGGTATCTGAATTCCCAAGAAAAAAAATTTTCTACCAATGAACTCGAACTGCTAGCAGTAGTTTGGGCGGTAGATCGTTTCAAACATTATTTACTGGGGAAAGAATTTGTCATAGCAACTGACCACAAGGCTTTAACGTCTGCTTTGGGGGAACATAGATCAAATAAAACATACCAATCTCGACTAACCAGGTGGGTTGATCGATTACTACCGTATCAATTTAAAATTACTCATATTCCGGGATGGGATATGGGTATCGTTGATTATCCGTCGAGAGAGCCCAATGGGGAACCATGGCCGGAATCGGAATTAGACGAGAGATTTGTAGTGACGTCTATTGAAAGTTTTCACAAAAGCACTCGACTGTTTGAGCAGTCGGTTCAGTGAAACAAATCAAAACAGTGCTATTATCATTCTAGAACATTTTGGAACACAGAGAGAAACTAACCACTGTAAAGACAGCTCATCACGCGGTTGCTATGGCAACCAATTTGTTCAAAACCAAACAAAGCTCACCCAGAACGAAAACGGTCAAAGCTTATGTTTTCAAAAAGAACAGAGTCAGAAAAACACATTGAACAAGATAGCTCGCGAGAAACAGTCTGTCAAATACTCAAAATTTAACAAAAATTCAATCAGAAAAGACAACATTCAAACTTCACAACAATCAGCGGATCTTACCCAGGCGGCGTCTTCTAAAAAGATGGAGAAAAATAAAACAGGAAAGTCAAAGAAGATAACAAACAGACAAAATAGAGATCAGAGGGAGGACGAACTGACAGAACAGGTGACGGAAACCACCTTCTCCCGAACACCCATGGTGTGCCTCAGGTTGAGTGGAGGACAGTAAAGAAATCATTCAAACCTAAAGGATATAAAGAAATCACTTCTGGGAATGCAGCAGAAAATGCTGAGAGACTTCTAATGTCATTTTTGGACCTCATGGGGGCAGAAAAATCAAATAACCCGAAAAGCTTACTGGAACTCGAAGCACGGACAGTTCTTAATGACAGAAGCAGACGTGAACAGGAGTTGGAAGCAAATACCCAAAGAGAGAATCCTCTAATCATAGAAGTGGACCTTACAGCTGAAAGCCCCTCAGAAAGTCCAGAAGTCTCCAT